ATCATACGACGCAAATCAAGGCCTACCTCGCAATCTGTTCTACTGAAATAAGTAGTGTTAAAGCAGTACTTTCGCCTCTCGATTGGCGAAGAAAAAGAAGTTGTAGACGGTATCAAAGTCTGCCTTCAAGCGGCCATCGGCCAATTCGTACAATCCGGCCCAGGGAGTATATTACCAATTCTCCTTGCCCGCCCAAGCAACCCTCTTCCATCGAGGATTCAAGAAATAAGGGTACCGAACCCTTGAACAACCCAGGCTCCAGCCGAAAAAACAATATGGGCGACAGTCGCCCGAGTAGGCCTTGGCTACAGCACTGGGACATCAAAGACAAAGGCAGTACCACCCGCGCCGAAGGCAAAGGGTGCCAATTCGAGGGAAGCAGCCGACACGCAATTTTTTCTACGCCTCGCCTACAACCACCCTCATCGACTCCTGTCAGCAGCTGGCATAAGATCAGTTGTGTCAGAAGTGCTAGTTATCGTAGCCAAAAATATCACGTCGGTTCAGTGGGCCAAAATAGCCTTTGCACTGACTGCATAGGATAAACTAGATCGGAAATAGCTCCTGAATTCCTACATAGCAGGGAAGGAATCTAGAATTAATCTAGAACCAACATCAAATCTGGTTGCCCTACAAATTGCCATCGTCCCGGTGAGAATTAGTACACTCACAGGTCCCGTTTTCATTACGGAAAAGATAGTCGCCGACGAAGTCACGCGAGTGACAAAATCGGTTACTTTTCTTGTTTGAACTTTTGAGACCTGCAATCCCGGGGCGCCATACTAGAACTAGCAAGCTCTCTTTCTTTGCAAATCCACACCTTGACCCGGATTCCGCCTTTTTGACGACTCAAGAGCTGCGAAGCTCTTCTAACCTTGCCGAAAAATAGATCAGTGCAAACAATATCTTGGCTTCCATGCCAACCGCGGCTATTCCCGTGCTCGAGTTTGCTTGAAGTGTTGATCAAATATGCACTCGGAAGCAGAGTGCAAAGCCGTCACACGGTGTCGAGACTGTAGGGGATCTCATCGCTCGGATTTGTGGGTTTGGATTCGCAGACCCAACAAGCTCGGCCAGGTGAAAAAAGAGCAGCTCGCGGTGATTTGCAAGATCGAGCAAGGAAGGTTAGCAGAATCTACCCGTGTCAAAGCTGTAGCCGAAAAAGCCTACGAGGCGATACACGACTCGATGAAAGATGTCTGCATGACAGACAGATCGGGGTTCGGAATTCTGGAATCCGAAGAGTAGTTTTAAGTTTATAGCGAGCCTCAGTGAAGTCGTCGAGGCTTAAGCAAATAAAGAGCAGGATATCGGCTAGATAAAGGGTGCCTGTGAACTCACTTTTGCTCTCAGCGAAGATCAGGAAATATCTGTTGGAAGACGTGACAGGCAAGGGAACGGTCGAGAAGCGCGGGATCTGGACCAAATTAGGATTTATTGTAAATTTGATTTTAGTTTTGTTAACTTCTACAATTTCTGTGGAAGTTCACGAGGTTGGAATGAGTTGAGCCTGTACACAGTGATCCTTACCGGCTCCACCGGTCCTGTATCCCGAGTAGGACGTAGAGCTTCTACCTTAGCTCAGGACTTTAATATAACAACAACCTTACACAGTTTTTTGAAATTCGAATCTTCCCTTTTACCCTTTTCCATCTCTCTCGCGCTCGTCGCACTCTTCCAAAAAATTGTGATTGAGTCGCTGGCATCTTAACCATGCCACCTGTTCGAAAAAAAAGATTCCCAACGAAATGTTGGACAACTCGAGAGTCCGCCCGAGGGCTCTCGCAAAATCAGCTGGCCTTGCCCAGTCTTCGAAATGTACGGAGATGGGTCAGGCTGTTTCTAAAGGGAAGGAAAAGCCCTTCCTACCGTTCTTGTGCCCCATGCTGACATGATTGGGGCAGTCGATATGTTTAGGGAAATTTCCCCACCAACCTTTATCTACTACGGGATAGGAGAATCGTTCAATTCTCCTCCGACCGAGTCAAGACCATCGTAGAGAGCTGCACTAAAAGTAGCTTCCACCAAAGAGACGCTGCCTAAAGCTGCCGCAAGAGCAGAATAACCTCCAGAGCTCCGACCTACCCTCGGAGCCAAAGAGCGGCCCGCTGCCATCTCTGACTTCAAAACAACTCTTCTCCCATTGACAAACGGGTCAAACAGACTATTCGTAGACTCCATGAGAATATGGTTACACTTCGCCATTACGCAATTTATGACCTCGGGCCAGGCTTGCATGCCACCCGTCCTGTCTCCCCGCCGTCAGAAGCTTCTTCCGAGAGCTACCGACGCTAGGAGCCCAACAATACCTGCCTTCCCAGTGCTGCCTATCAAAAGCGCCTGGGTTACGGTAGCTAAGAACGGACTGCAACAAAAAGTAATCTCATCAGTAAAGGCTTTGCCGCGACCTGCAGCCAAAGCCCCAAAGAAAGACGCTCCGAAGGCGAAAGTCGACAGACAACTTTTCGTCTGCCTCAGTAACGATCACCCGTGGCGCAAGCTCTTGCCCAAAAGCGGACGGCAAAAATTAGAGGATAATATGGGGTGCATCGTGGGTGACTCCAGCTCGTCCCACCGAGTCGGAACCAGCTTTGCGATTCTAGCAAGGCCAGATGGAAAAAGGCAATGGCTCCTAGATGCGGCACCAAAACTGGCGAATTTCAACGCCAAGCTCGAAGAAGCTTCTGATCTTGTCGCCTTTCGGATCGCGCACGTACCCACAACCCTCAAAACACTCACCCGTACAGTTATGGTTGATGCTCAGTGGATCTCAGACAAGACTGACTTCAAAATCCACCTGACGCCAATCCAGGAGCGCCGCACAGAAGCTGGGTTGCACTCTTTCCTTAGGATTCCGCCTCGTCGAAGAAATTCAGCAGTGTTATCGCTATCTCGGCTTCCACACCACCCGTGGTGGCTTCCGCGCTCCGGCTTGGCTGAACTGCGGTTCAACAATGCAGCCTGAAGATGAGTACAAGACCTCCACTAGATGTCAAAACTGTGGAGGACCTCACCGATCGTTCTCTATTTTTTTTTTTAAATCATTTAATGTGTATTCAGCTATCTAGCTATGACACATGACCGGTGCTATGTATACATTTTGGATGACTCTTTTGACGTTGAAGACACTCATACTCTGGATTTCATTCGCAAATACCACTATGAGGTATGTTCACTTACACAAACTGTCGACCCTCCTCCGTAAGTACCCACCAAAGGGAATTTCAAAACCATTGGTTATCCAAACTTGCCTTCGTCATCCATGCATACCAGCGCCGCGAGAAATGTGGTTATGTTTTGCTGGGTTTGAACCAGCGATCTTCTGTCTCGAGTGGAATATATGTCCAAGCTATCCAGAACTTACTTGGCAGACCGGCCAAGACGATGTACCACCGCACCATCCAGCCATGGCGGTATTTATAGTGTCGCCTGCACTCTCGCGACACAAGTCTTGGCACGCACAAAGCTCAATTTGTAAAAAATCCATGCCAGAATTCAAAATTCCACGCCCATCGAGACTGTATTCATCCCTCGCATCAGCTTGTTAACTTGTCCTGAATCCTCTCACGCCAATCCCAACGAACTGTCTCTCAGATTTGTGCGCCACGCTATGTGTCCTCCGTCGGGTGTAAATATCGGCGTGGGCGTGTATTTGGTGGTCAACTGAGGCCAGAGAAAGTCGAAGAAAGGTATTGTCATTGGAATGAGGATGTACTAGGTTGTACTTGTAGACTTGATGAGGCTTAGGTAGGATTCAAACTCGTTGGGAGCGAAAAGTTGATGTTGCAGAGTATCTTGAATCATTACCTTGTGGGCCAACCTGTTCGGTTTTGCGAAATTTGACTGAACTTGGCTCTGGGAGAATATTTCACTGCCAGGTTCGTAGAGAACACCGCGTACAGGTGTTCAGTCTTGCCCTCCTACCGATCGTTCTCGTGGGATTGCCGAAAAAGCCTCAACAAGTTCGTTCCGGTGGAGAGAGAGCAGCTGGAAGCGATTCGTAGATCAGAGCACATATTGTTTGCACAAGCAGCCCTTGGAAAAGCTGCAGCCAAAAGGGCTATTAAGGCGATAATAGTCTCAACCGAGGACATGTCCACGGCGGTGGGATCTGGCTTCGGAGTTCCGGAATCCGAAGAAGATACTTGAGAGGCAGCAACCTCGAAAACGTCTTTTTATGCCTTACTAACCAAAAGTAGGATACTGGCTGTATCAAAGGTGCCTGCTAAGCCATCTCTTACTCTCAGCAGAGATTTAGAAAATTGTCATCTGGAAGGTGTGACGGGCGAGGGAATGTGTGATGAATGCATAACTTGGGTCAAAAATTGAGGTATCTTCCGGTTTTTGGTGCTGTTTTGATTTTCTTGTTTTTGGTTTCTGTGTTAACCAGCTTCATCTTGCGCAGCGATTCACGCGGTTGGAATGAGTTTGGCTGTGGGAAAATTACAGGGACCCCTGCTAGCTCCACCGGTCCTGCACCCATAGTGGACATAGTGCATTAGCTTAGGACCAAACGGACAAACCAAAATAGGAAAATGAACAAAGTAAGCTTATGTAATAAAAACATCAGTAATGAATTTAGGCCCCACACAATCGAAAGTCATGGCCGAGCCAACTTTCATGTTACCATCAATGGTATTATCGCAGTCGCACCTTTGACGAGCCACCACTGCATTCCAGACTATACTCAATAGATTTGTCAAATTACACCATCAGGTCTGGCATGCAACACAATAATATCTAGAGTCTATCATTAGACACGGGTAACCTACACTCTTAATACAAAGCTCTGTATCGTAGTAAGGGTTGAAATCAAATGTTCTCCTATTAAACTACAGTCGTGGTAACATACCTTTGTTCGCACGAAAATACGTACGCGACCACTTCACCAGCAGGATCTTTTGTGAAGGACTAGCCTTATCCTTCCCTTGTACTGGCTGGGCTGTCTTTTACGAAAGTACACGCTTTTTCACACTCAATGTAGTTATATGCATTTATCTTCAGCCAAATGTACTTATATTTTCGCGCAGAGCCACATATTCACTATCAGCGTATCCCAAAAGATCACGTATCTCACTACTTTTGACACCTTTGATTCGCGAAATCTCCGATGCGCTAAAATTAACTACAGCCCTTCCAACTTCTGTGCCCGGACCCTGCCATGATTTTTGGTTGTCCTCACACGTACTAGGATCCGAACGACTGACAACTACAATGCGAACCGACTCCATTTGTGCGAAATTACCTTCCACATCTAGAACACCAACTGCAAAGAGTCCGGCCTTATTCTTAATGGCTTCATAAGCGCCAGAATCGACGTACAAAGTACCACGTGGAGTTAGACCGTAGAGCAGCCAGAACTTGCGATCTCTGATTGGATTTTGCGCTGGAATAAAACGTGTGTGAAGTGGAGGGCTGCATTCCGATTCGATTTCTGAACTCTGGCTAGAAGTGTCGATTTCATCCTCTCGTGAATTTAGCTTCAATGTGGGTGCGGACCGAGGCGATGATGGGTTGGATTTCAGTGTTTGCAAGTATCGAACAATTTGGGGAATATTACCTGGGGTAGAAGAGCGCGTGATGATCGTTGTGACGCCAGCTGATGTTGCTAAGCGAGCTGCGACAATTTTAGTGGACATGCCACCAACCCCTAAGTTAGATCCTGCGCTAGAGACTATGTATCTGTCAGCTGTTTAACCATAATTTGTTCTCGTAGAGATTGAATACCGTCTGCATTCAGGCTCGAGATATCTTCGACTACCTCGATTGCGCATGCATCAGCACAGGTTCTTGGGTTTTTATCATATAAACAATCTACATCAGTCATCAGGAAGAGGTACTGTGCGTGTATCATGGCGGCAGTAATAGCTGACAAGGTATCGTTATCTCCGAATTTTATTTCGCTAACGGCAATCGTATCGTTTTCGTTCACTATAGGGATAACCCCCATCTCTAGGAGTTCATGGAAGGTTTTCTGCGCGTTAAGGTACTGACTTCGCTATGGCACATTAAATTAGTATTCTAAATGTGCATCATATAAGGGTCATCTACATGTGCGATAGCTTCCCGAGTCAATAGTATTTGAGCGATTGGCTGACCAAAATGAGAAAATAATTGATCCCATATACCCAAAAGATGGCACTGTCCAATTGCCGCTAGAGCCTATTGTGTGTCAGATTGAATGTGAGGCCGTTATGAAAAATATGTACCTGAATTCGTGGCAAGTGTTTAGGCCTTTTATCATAATTCATTTTTCGTAGTCCAACTCCAATAGCCCCAGAAGAGACAATGACGACTTTATGCCCTTCATTGCGCAGCTTAACTGCGGTTTCTACTATGAGGCTCAATATTGAAAGTAGCGGCTTGTGGGTAACTTCATCTATTATAGAACTTGTTCCTGATAGGTAGTTAACAAAATGGGCCTTAAACAATACCATTCATGGGTCGGTACCTAGTTTGATCACAATTTTAAGGCCCTTCATCTTTAGTTTTCGAGTGAAGCTAACCGAAACGAATCTGTGAAGGAAGGCTGACAAGTAGCCCCGCGCGGGGACTCAAGGTATGTGATCGGGCCTTGTTTGCTGTGAAGAATCTGAGAGCAACTTGAGCTTATCGCTGTACTACTTAGATTCACGACTTAAAAAATGATCAGAACTTGATCGGGCGGTGAACGTATTAGAGAGAAAGCGTTGCTTACACAATGATATGTGAGGCAATAGCGAATTGATCAGTTTCTCAAATTGATGTGATATATACTTATTCACTTCTGTGTTTCTGGATGGCGACAGAGTTTTTGAATCGTGATACTGAAAGGTGTAGGTTCAACTATTGTTGCTTGGTTTTATCCAAAGCAGCAGAAATATAACAAGACTAGGGAAGACTGTTGAATATTGGGGATTTAAGATTTAACGTCTATTAGAGGATTCTCCTGAAAATTGTCAATATAGTTACGAGTGATAAAAGAAAGACATACCAATATTGAAAGTATTACAGGTACAGGTACATGTATGTGCGAGATAGTGAAATCTGTTGATTGTAAAGTAATAGCTAATTGTATATAATTGATAATATTGTTGTAGCTACGAGCAACGAGGGAGAGATTTGGTAGAAGGTTGGTATTCGGACTGCAGTTAGATGTGAGTGGATGTGAATTGACTGATACGATACTTATATGCAGGTATATGAACAGAATGTGATGTAATTAACCTTTGGATATTTACTGAAGGCAAACTTAAGATTTTGTACAAACGCCCGATTATTGATATCCTCAGACATCTCCCATGCCCTAAAATCACATGAGATCCCCTAACTTCGGCTACTTTTCGCACATTATAAAAGGTACTCTTTCTCCATCCTATTGTGTGGCAGGAAGTCCCTGTTAATACATAAGTGTGGGCTTTCCCGCATACAGGCACAAATGTCAACAAGTTTCCTTTTCTAATGCAGAAGAAAAGGAAGTAATAAATCTCAGAGCCAGTTGGTTCACGGTTGGATTTATCTAAATGTTTCTATCTTTATTCTTTGTAGTCCAGTTCATTGTTCTTTCAGTGGATGATGAATTACGTGAAAATCGATGGCAATTGGCATTGAATGCGACCGTTGAGATTGACGTCAGAGAGTCTAAACTCTTTACTAGCCAGGTTCATGGTTGCTAATAAGTGACGAAAGTTGAACACCTATTAGCAAAAACCTCTACGAACCTCGTGGAGAAATATTCTTCAAGGGCTTTACTAATCTATATTTCGCAATATCAACCAAATTGGCTCACAAAGCATTAGTACAAGATTCACTACTACTAAAATATATTACACCCGAGTACATCAACTCTGGACAATGCACCATCAAGTCTACGGTCACCTACTGTCACTTCCCCTTTTTGAAGACTACTTTTCATCGACTCAGTCCCTAAATCTAGCTCGTCTCAGAATGCACGGCTACTGCGATATAATTACTTGCAGAAAGACACAAAATTAGGTAAATGTATTGTGATAATTGGGGGCAGATGGGTAAGATGGTGTTGAGTGAATGAAAGTTTATTCGTGATGGGCACAAGCCCTGCACTCAAATAGCATGACACGGAGAAGACTAGCTTCTCCGACGACTATATAAGACGATAACTCAGGTTGACATTTGAACCACTCATGTAGTGAGTGCATTCGCTGATACTACTCGAGACCCTGGTGCAAGGGACTTTAACCCTTCCCTCAACCGTTTTTATCCACCAAAGGGAAAGCAGAAAATCCTTTGGCTACCTCAACATGCCTTTGTCATCCTGTATATAGCCACCGCGCGAGATATGGCCTCACAGTCCTCCCTTTCTCGAGTGAGGGAGGTGTCCAGGCTACCCTGACTTTAACTCGGGGAGATGATGACCAGTAGGCGGACCAAAACACCTTCCATCATTGCTAGTTTTTAGAGTGTCGGATGCACTATCCGAAATCGTTGTTTCTGCGCCCACAGATACCCTTAACTCGAAAATACTCGAAAATACTCGAAAAATGTGCATTCCAGCATGCCCATTTGTGACCTCTTCACTCGTTCGCCCCACGTCCCAGCTGCCCATTCTCCCTCCAGATGTGAAGCCCCATTAGAGCAGCGGTCTCCCACATACCAAGACCTAAGCTTTGTATGTTATGACTTAGTTTCCTCCTCGCGGGTATACATAGCATCGTAAATGTGTAGTGGGAGATGGCCGGTTTTTGTTGAGGCAAATGCCCGATTGCAGTTGGAGTAACGCCATTATCGGTATTTGAGGCGAGGTGGTGTAGTAAGATTTAGGTGGAGGACTCGCGTAAGAATGATAGATCGGACACTGGCGAGAAGTCGACGATTTAAGATGTGCTTGTGAGTGCTTACGACTTCAATTCGGTTACGATTCTTCTTGGCTATCCCAGTCATGCAAAGTAAATTAAGCAATTACACCGGCAGCACTTTAAGGTGAAGAATTCGTCTTTGCCGGCACATTGGATGCTCACTCGCTTGCAAATTTTATATCGATTAATGTTATTTACTTCGAGAAACCCCCTTATCAATCACAATTGTTAATGATTATGTGAGTGCTGGTGTATTTGAAATCCTTAACTGTATCACTGATATCGGATCTGGAATGGTCTACATCAAAGTCACAACTTTAGTCTCATATCATATCACCAAAGTTTGCATACAAGCAGTCGAGTTTTCCACCTAGATTGCAGAACGTTTTTTATATGGGATTAAGCTAAATTGTCGGTAAAAGGATCACATTTGGGTAGTGTGAATTGTTATATGTATTTGCGGTATTCAGGTTGTCGTTAGGACACTGACAAGGGTCTGATTCAGCTCATTAGCGATGCGCTTGGAGTAGAGGAAGGAAGGGGAGATGGAGAGAGAAAAGGAGAGACAACGATTTATGTATTTCGAGATACCAGTTAATTGACATTATTCACCGACTTCGTGACGGACAGCTGACTTTGTGACGGCACCCAATTTCTATTACTTCGTGTTTTACCAATAGAAATAAAATCCCTCATACGGAGAACTCAAACGAACAGTTATTATGATTATTACTATATCAAAAAACCTAGCCAAGGAACCAAAACAAATCAGGGCATTAATAAGCAAACATGTCTATTTATGCTTTAATGAACAGCATTTTCAGGCTATATATCGACGTCCTATTGTCAAGCTGTCGCATTTCTGTCATCAAATCATACATGATAATTTACTGCCCATTGATAAATTATCTTAAGGATTAGTACGAGAAGTGAAATTAATCAAATTTTCCTCAGCCCCCAACGCCTGTCGCCAGATTTTTGCACCGTATTTGGAAACCAGAGCCTCCCAGGAAGTAATAATAGGTCATTCAATTTAATCTGTTGATACCAAGCCTTCCCCACTTAGGCTTGGTTTTCGACTGGCCAAAATATTTCCCGCACCCGAGCTCTCCTCCGGTTTGGATTCAACTTCATCAACAGGAGCCTTAACCTTAAATATATTTAATGTAAATCCGTTTGTAGCTTGTGATAGTTGTTCGCGTAGGCGCTCGCGCATGTATTTACGATCTATGGGAATTTGTACTAAAGGGGGCACAGCTGGCCGCGGATTCCAGTTTGAGAAGCCATGCATTACTGCACTAAGCTCTTCATCTGAATCGATTGGTCCCAGAGTTGGGTCTTCATCTTCAAGTGGCGCGTTTGCATCAATGGCAGCCTCTGGTGAAAAATAAATTTAGATATTTTCTTTTCACGACTTGGTGGAATACTTACTTTGCTGTTTTGCCTGATTTTTCTTTTGGTAGGCTGCGAGGAGAAAGTCGTATGGAAGAGATCGTCCCGCCACAGCCCGTTTGGCGCCCATCGAGTGGGACTTACATGTTAATGATCTGGCACAAGGAACACCATCTTTTATGACCCCACATTGCCTTTCAACATCAACTGGACCTAGCTTGTTGTTAGAGCTATGTAGGACAATCAATACCTTTGGAAGCAATTGATAGAGCGCCATAATTGAAATTCTGGAAGCTTCTCTTTCAAGTGAATAATACGGCAATGGGCAAAGATATACTGACCCTTCTGTTTTGGATGCTTGGGTTTAGGTTCGTCTTTCTTCTTCTTTAACCGCGGTCCTTTTTCTGCATCTGTCTCGGCTTTTCTCTTTTTACTTTTTCTTTCATCTGTAGGATCAACTTTTTTCCCTGCACTCTTCTTGATTGATTTGATGCCATTCCCGGATTTATCGTCGGCATCTTCCTCCTCGTCCTCTTCTTCGCCGGCTCCTTCTGCTTCACGTCGTTCTCTTTCGCGTGCTTCTTTTTGCTCTTTTTTACGCTGGGCTTTCTCTTTTTTTAATTTATTACATGCAGTAACATGTATTGCGCTGACACTTTTGAGTATCATCTTCTTGCAGATTGTACATCTCGTCAGGTCCGGCGAGTCGACGAGTGGCCGACCTGTAGGAAATGTTTCCCACGCTGCATCGTCAAGCTGGTTGACAACTGGCTCCAGTGAGGCGGTTTGCTGATCTAGTTCATCGATTCTCTTTTTTTTTCCTTCTTGTAAAAATTAGAGGGGTATCCCAGGATGATAAAAAGACTTACCATCCAGTATACTACCATCAAGCCAGTTGCCAGGCTTGTTATGCTTGGGAGGAGGTTTTTTAAGCTTGATAATGCCGCCAAAGCTGGGTTTTTCCCTGCGTGGTTTCTTGGTTTTGACATTGTGAATTGCTTCATCGTCGCTGGCGAACGATTCTAGTTTCTGTTAACCATGTTGACTGTGATTAGAAGATTTAATACTTATGCTTGCCATATTAGCGACGATGACGCTACCGAGGCGTTGTCCAGATAGTCTATTATGGTGGATTTGTTTCGTAGCTGGCGGCAAGGCTGTGGATAATGGATTCCTCGACCAACACAAATCTTCATGACTTCATTAAACATGTAGGACTTTCTGAAGTATAGTCTTCACGTTGATTTCTTAAAGGAATTATCTGTCTTCAATACATGTTGCCTTAAAATAATCACAGTTTGCTTTTTGACGTGCGACTGCTGGTGATACGTAGACTACGCCTCCTGAGAAACAAATTGTGATATTTCCTTACCCAAACAAATTATTCAATGTCAAAGTTGCTTAACAGCATTTGTTCTTAGATTCCACCTTTGAAAATTGAATCGCCAGCTGATCTTAGAATCCTTACGTGAGGAATAGCTACAGACCTGACTCTTGGATGCACGTCACATGTAGTACTAGTTAGAAGCCTCAAGTGAAGAATAATGCCAGTCGCCCCAGCCTTGTCACTGACGGTTAGACCTAGTACTAGCTTTCATCAATTGCCTCGGTAGCAGGCCCAGTTCGCAGTACAGGAGGACGAAGGCTGAACACCTGTCTGTGGTGTCCTCTACGAACCTGGGGGTGAAATATCCTCCCAGAGCCGAGATTCAGTCATGACAAAGGGTGAATTTGAGAGTTTTCGTCGATTTGGGGATCGGGAGGAGTGGTGTTGGCTCATTTTTGGTCAAAAATCCGACTTGCAAAGATTTCACGACTGCGCAACTCAATGAAATCAACCATCTACACCCCACATACGAACCGGAGATAGGCTATAACCTGTCTAGTATTCATATCACAACAACCGACACCATCAAGATCTTAATTTATTTTCTCTGGAAAATAATTTCCATCCAAACTCATCTCGCGGCCCTCTCCACAGTCATCTCACCACCTACCGAAGCATTCCGATACCTCCGAAAGTCAAATTACCATCAAAGAAGTAAGAAGATGTCCGACCCCCTGCAACTGCCAATCGCTGTGAAGGTACGGTCTAAATACCGGCCTTCAATGCGTCCTAACCTCGGCCAAGGGCACCATCAACTCGACCTGCGACGAGTCGCCACCGATGAAATACGTACGATATTTCGCTGGCACACCAACTAAAACGTTCGACAAAGGCTGGGGCATCTGTGCCTCGGTCTTGAGATGTCAGTCACATTTTCGACTTCCACGGTTAGGGGTACGGCAACAACGGGGCAAGGCTGGATCGGTGGACATTCTACAAAGTTTTTGGGAGGACGAGGCTGACTAAAGGACAAAGGGCTTCTGTATGATGGAGGGAAATAAGGGAATACAAACTGAGGAGGCCTTGGTGTGCGACTGGATGAGGCCTCCAATGAAGAAAACAACCCCTGGATGAGATGAGGACATGTTGAAGTGAGCCAAAGCTGGGATTGAATGGAAGAAAAAATTTACAGATCGCGAAGGCGTCAACGGCTCGGTCGCATGGTGGCCGAGGCTGAAGAGGAATTTGCGCTTCGGCGCGTCAAAAGAGGGTTCTCTGTACGGTTGGGCTTGACATGATTCAACACATGGGTGAGGTCCGAGGTAGTCCGGTCATTCAGATGGAACGAGGTAGATGTACTTAATGGTAGTTAACCTGATCCAGCTCGGCCCCACCTTTGCTTAAGCTCCAGTAGGAATGTAATGGTAGTCAATTTACCTAGCACGTTAATGAACAAACCAAACCAAACCAGTTCACAGCACCAGCCATCAGAAAGATAAAATTCAGGATGGGCGCCGGCAAAGACAGAATTTTCACCTTCTAGCGGTGCGCTGTAAACGCTCAATTTTCTCTGTATATCTAGGATAGCTAAGAAGAATAGCACCCGAATCCAATTCCAAAGCAAACTAGATCACATCTATTTTTGATGACTTCTCATCGATGTAGGTCTAATCATTCTCATTTAAGTCCTCAATTTGAAACCACCTATATATAATGTTGCCTCAACAACCGATAATAGAGTTACTCCAATTGTGAACTGGAACCTGTCCCATTTATTACCGGCCATCACCTACTACAAATTTACGACGTTTCTTATACCCGCAAGAAGAAAATTAAGCTCTAATATACAAGTATCGGGTCTTGGTTTTTTGAGGGAGCGATTCTCAAATGGAGCTACATAATTTGAAGAATAATGGGCAGCTGGGACGTGGAACGAAAGAGGAAAGAGGCCACTGATAGAGAAACTGGTACTGATATTCTCAAGTAGTTTGCGACTTAAATTTTCGTTGTCGTCAGGACCAAGTTTTTGGGTAGTAAACCAGGAGAACTTCTGTTGTCGATGAGTCAACGGCACTCCCCAGCGCCCTGGACGGCAAAAAGGAAGTTAGGCTAGGCTATCATACAGCAAACACACTCTACCAAGGACTTTCTGACAATCCAAAATGACCTTCGTGATAGGGCTAGAAGGGGCCAGAAAGCCAGAGTGCGGATGTCCTAAGGCACCCACAAGTCTGCACAGCCCAGCTAGCCGGCCTCCGTGAACACTTAAGAGGGGTTCCCATATCTTTGGATTTAGTCCTGATGTCGGTGTTAAGAGAGTCCCGCACCCAGTGATTTTTGCGATTTACCTCGACTGCCATACACCCGCAAACAGCCATTTTTTCGTTTGCCAGAGAGGGGAAATAATGAAGGACAAAGGGCTCCTCTAAGTGTACGATCGAATGATGACTTGTGAGGGTCAGTACTGTTTGAGGGGAGCTGTATGGGAGGCAAAGGAGGGGATATACCACTGGTATAGGTATCTTCGGCCTGTAAGCAGAGAGGTCCTGCATGTCCTACATAATCTTAGACGGAGAAAGAACAATTAAAAAAATGCATTCATTGTCACGTTTGGAAACACAGCTCGGCCGAAGCTGGACTGAGCCCTGCGGAATGCCACCAATTTAAGACTTGATTTTGTCCTAACTAGAATTTGGAGACTTTTCTATATCGTGGTCTGATCCCGAAATATGAAAATTTCGGGGGTTTAAGAAATTCTTCATGCACGGGGGCAATTCATCGATTGGGTGGTTTTTTTGCTTTGAAACTTTGTAATGGCCCTAAGACTATACAGAACATCGAAATTGTCCCTACCACTGGGATTGAAATTACTAAACCCCAACAGCCTCTATCGAGCAGTCACGTCCCTACAATTCTTCGGCTAATCACAGGGGAACCTTGCGTCCTTCATTGTCTATTCTCCAACCTACGAAACAGTGGTTATTTGTGGGCGCGTGGCAGCTGAAAGTTTTGACAGTGACCATAGGAGGGGAGTCTCTCCTAACACTGACATTGAAGCTACACTCAGAGAGATAGCTATTCCCCCGAAGTGTTTGGAGACGCAGACCGGTATGAATCAAAGGAAATAAATCTCCGCTAACCTGGAATTTTCTCAATTGCGCCACTGGACATATCGGACATGCTCTTGAATTGTCAGAAATTTATCTGCGAATTATACTAGAGTAGAAAAGGCCGGCCTCGTATCCCTCTAGCGCGGTACTACGATTAATGGACGATCGAGCTCTCGACTATTTGGTCAATGAATGTGCAAGACACTGGAATCACACTGGAATACCCAGGCCAAGGCCAGCGAGAGGCAGAGACAATGAGCCCGCGGTGGTAGGCAATAGATGCTGTGTGCGAGGGAACACCATGTGCCCTTCGCCAAACTAGCCAGACTTGGCTTTGCAGTGGCGAAGCAGGCCCATGGACCAGTGATTCAAGGGTCCTCATTGCATTAATCTATCCTACCTATCGAGTTCGAATCTTGCCATAGCCTCAACCCATCCTCAAGTGCGGCCTATCCTCGTCTCACTTCCTTGAACATGTTGAAATATGAAATATCTTGGAATGCCAATAATAATTTATTTGTAGGTCTGGACAATCAGACTATTAAATTCCCCATCCTACATCATTATAATCAACACATCCTCCGCTGAAGGATTAATGCGCAATGCTACTTATCTCACACTAGCATTCCAGCGTATGACCGTGTCTCAAATGCAAATTACAGGATTCTCCAGCCTATTACCGATAAACATGTATTTAGCTTTATATATCTGTATGTATACAGATTTACATCTATAGAGATCATAACTTATGATCCATGAAGATTGGTAAATGCTGGACAAAAACATTATGATTTAGGTGTGAGTAGGTATGAGATGTTGAATTGTCTAGGGATAGTAGAGAGGGTGGATAACGATTATCAGAAATTTTTTTTTAATCGTTTAAGTGTATTCAGCTATCTAGCTATGACACATGACCGGTGCTATGTGTTCATGTGGGATGACTCTTTTGACGTTGGAGATACTCATACTCTGGATTTCATTCGCATATACCACTATGAGGTATGTTCATTTACACAAACTGTCGACCCTCCTCCGTAAGTACCCACCAAAGGGAATTTCAAAACCATTGGTTATCCAAACTTGCCTTCGTCATCCATGCATACCAGCGCCGCGATTAATGTGGTTATGTTTTGCTGGATTTGAACCAGCGATCTACTGTCTCGAGTGGGATATGTGTCCATGCGATCTAGACCATACTTGGCAGACCGGCCAAGACGATGTACCGCCGCACCATCCAGCCATGGGGATGTTTATAGTGTCGCCTGCACTCTGATTATGAGGACTTGACCATATGATGAACAGCTCAGTTATAATCGTTTACACATCACAGTGGTAGATACGACGTATATACACATGTTTGGTACCCGCCATATAGCACATCATCGTGTATGCAGGAAGTACTACAATCTTAGTTCCATGCCATACTATCCCACACTACTCTATGCCATTTTGTAGAGCTGCGCTCCAATTGTTGATCGTAATGATAGTCATGTAGGGCTATGCAGTACTCTTATAGATGTGCTGTTTCCCAGTCACTTAGCAGAGATTGGTTTAGAGTAAATGCAATAATCACATCACAACAAGAAGCCACAGTTGATAAAAAATTGTATCCGCAATCTTACTTTTAACATGTAAGTTTACTTAATACCATACATCTCAATACAATTGTTTCCACTCAAATCTTCCTTCTACAATGTCAATAAGACTTATTATGTCGGTCTAGCCATCGGCACTGATTCCGCCTTTACCCCCATCTTCGCTCAAGCTCATAATTGAACAGATCACACCTCTCGTAAGTCAGCCTCTGGCCTCAAGCGTTCTTCGCGTCCAATCAAAGGATAGTTTGAGTTTTCGCTGGAGAACAAAATTTGTGGCGCACAAATGTAGAATATAAGTCTGAAATAGACGTGGATGTGGTTAGGACAGAAGCTCAATATAAAGCTCGACAAGACTACAATTTCGGAAGGAAGGGAACTCCCATTTAATGGCTACTCATGGAGATCGTTTAATTAGTGATACAGATTTACATTAGAGCGGTACTTAAAAATCCCATTTATAGTGTGAGTGACTATAACTGTAAAAGCCATCCAACTTGCACGCGTAGCAGTGATCGTGATCCATAATTAGCTCATTAGGTGGCTGCGTGCACATGAAATTTTCAAAAAACAACTGTTGTATGTGAGGAGTGTAGGGGTATCAAATTACATAGAACGCTAAGAGTTGATTGATAAACCGCAATACATAAAAACCGCAATACTCAGCATCCTTCTTCTTTTCACAGCCCACGCCTGAACCCCTGCCAGATCAAGACAATACCTGTAAATAACATCGCGAAATAGGAAAGTAGAAGGCAAATTTGAGATTCAGTCGAATCTTCTGTCCAAAATTGACACCCAGTACGCCAATCGGTAAAATTTTGAGCCGAGTTTGTCACCCTCAACACAACTGAGGGAATTTTGCTCCGTAAATTAGAGCTTAAACAATCAATATTCGTATCCGTCATCTACAGCGGCTTCCTTAGTCCTCATGACGCTTTCCTGTTTTCGATACATCTCAGCCACTTGACTACTTTTAGTCGCTGTTTCAGGCTTCTTATCCTCGCGGATTCTGATGAATCGAGGAAATCGTAGACTGATACCTTTATCATTATCACTTCTTTCCTGGTATGCAGCCTTATAACGTGGACTTAACGTTAAATCGGCTGTCTTAACTTCCCACACATACTTTGGCTCAAACCAGACATCAGGTTGGTGCGCATTGGATGTAGCATGTGTGTAGAAGGGTTTTGGGTGATCGATAACTATAGCCGAAAGCTGTGAATAAAGTTCTTCTAGTACGGCTTCCGAAAAGCCCGTTCCAATGTTACAGATAGTCTCATAGCTTTCAGACTTGTAGTTATAGCAAGCAAGAAGAAACGCACCATATACTGATGTGCGCTTGCCTCGACCGTAATAAGCTCCTAATACAACCAAGTCAAGAGAGTCGCCGATACCAGATAGGTAATCCTTCTTAATCTAGGGAGTTTTAGCCATATGTTAATCAGTTTAATGAATAAGTTATACCTTGAGCCAGTTTCGACTTCGCTTACTGGGTTCATAGCTACTCTCCGAGCCATCTAGCATTTTAACCATAAGCCCTTCACAAGACGCCTTCATGCTCTCATCGAGAAAGTTCTGAATCTCATCGATATCCTTCCCATCCATACCTGTGGCAAAGGCAAACTCACCCGGCACAGGAGTGAACGCTGTATGAAGAAGACTTCGACGATCACGAAGTGGCTTGTGAACAATTGCCTCGCCGTTAAGATATAGTAAATCAAATGCATATACGCACACTTTTATTTTGACATCTTCAACCCTTACGTCTTTTTTCTTCCTAGTCATGAGCTGTTGGAATGGAAGAATTTTTTTCTCCACGACATCCCAAGCTACACTTTCGCAGTCCATCACAAAGCTGCTGGTCTCCGGTTTGACCCATGTGTCTAGTTTGGCAAGTATATCGGGATATTTCTTGGATAGATCCTCAGAATTTCGTGAGAAAATAGCTGCAAGGTCACCAGTTTTTGTCTTGGATACTGCAAAATCAGGTCCTGAGTATTTTACTGGCGAATCTTTAGCAATATAATGTATCTGAGCCCTCTCGCCGTCATATTTGAATTCGCAAGTAAATAGATGATTCTCGAATCGATCAAGAACCTCAGAGATTGCTTTTGTGGGCTTTGCCAACATAGGTTTCAGGGGTATGCCTGGTTGGAGCTGGCAGTGTTCCCGTAGATTTAGGATACCATGACTAATCATCGTGGGAATAATTATTTCATAGCTGGGGATTTCACTGTAGACCGTTTTGAGAATTGCTTCTCCTTTAGCGATCTCCTCGGAACCTGGAGGCTTCCCAGAAACCTTGCTTTCAGCTTCATGCCAAATAAAAGCTTGAGCAAGCGAAATCAATACTGTTTTCTCAGCTAGCCCTAGTCGAAGTTTGCCCTCGAGGAATCTTACAATAAATTTTGCTTCACTTGAGCCGCCCTTGTTTTTGGTGTTGTCAATTTTTACACCAGAATTTTGGGTATCAGCTGCAGAAAGTAGTTTTTTGATGTAATCAATCTTTCGAGACTGAGCTCTTTGACCTGAGACTGTAGCAATATATACTAGGTCCTTATGGACACCGCGAACTGTTAAAGGTTTAGGGGCAAACATAGTAGGTTGTTTTGCTCTGCTTTGGACGGCTACAAGTCCAAGGTCTCCGATTTCTTTATGACTATCCTTAATTACCGCCAAACTTCTCCCAGTTGATTCTCCGATTGCTTTCATAATCAACGATTCCCCGATTCCCAGTTCAATTCCCGCGTAGTCAGCAGCAAGTTTGTTGACCATTAGTAGTACAGTTGGAAGGAGGTCGTCAGGCGTGAGTTTGAGAACCTTTCGTAAGAATAGTGAGCAGTAAGAGGCAATCAACAGTCTTTTGCTCGTCATTTCAATCAAGGAGAATGTTGCACAAAGTGCAGCGTATGGCACTGGTTCTCCTGGCTTCCATTCAGGACATAGATTTGTAGAATCAGACTCAAGCTTTACTTGAGTCTTTTGGAGCATTTTTGTATCGATTGATGTCTTTTCTTCCTCGACATCACTACTTTCTTTATCAATAATAGGCTCAGGAGTGTAAGGAAGCGAGACTAATGCTGTGGTTTTTGGTGACAATTTTATCCCTGATTTTAATTCGACTTGAAGCTTTTCCTCATCTCCTCCACTTTTCTGTCCCTCCTTATTCTCGGGGTGCTTCGGGCTTGGCGACGAATTCCAACTTCTGTCGTCAAATTTCTCTTGTTTTATTTCTGAATATATTAGAGTTTTAGATTCAAGGTTAGCAGTTTTGCCATTGCTATTTTCCAATTTGGCGGTTCGACTCCGTTTTAATATGGGCTCTTCATCGTCGGATTCAAGTTCTTTGATGCAACTCTCAGAATCCTGGTGAGGTGATCGAGCCCGCTTTTTTAATTCTGGGTTGTATTAGCTAGTTTTTTAAAAAATCTGTTTTAAATTACTTTTCTCCCCAGTTTCTCTCTGATCGGTTGAGTTATTTCCCGTGCAAGACGCAGGAGCACTGCCTACATGTTGGATTGTCTCACTTTTATCCTCCTTGGCTGTAGCTTTTGATGAAAATGACAACTTTGATTGCTTAGCTGGAAATTTTTTCATATTTTGACCACCGAAGAACTTCCTTTGAAGCCGAGAGTCAGTAAGAGACGTCAATTATAATATAGCATAATTCGTACCCTAAGGTAGTTTGAGGATCTCGGACATACCCCAATGTGGCCTGCGATGAAGACATTTTCCACAACTGTTTGACTATGAATTTCCTAGCTATGAGCCAAGAAGCCACACCGATTGCTGATAGATTTTTTAACAGTCGTGATTCTTTTTTTGCAACCGATTCTTCCTCTTATAGTACCTAGTCGTATTCTTAATGAATTATACAACTTTTTGAATACGGCAGGTTGCAAAATTTGACAAATATTATCAAGGAATTAAGTCATAGTGGTGATACTCTCATACATAAGGTAATAAAGAATGATGTGGAAAATCGGTAAAGATTATAAATACTGCACTGTAGAAGCGTTAGAAGTTCCGTGTCTGATCAAAAGTGTGTGCTGAAGTTTTGTTTTTAAAGGTAGAGCAATGGGAGATTTATGATGATATTAATGACCAGCTCGTTACGCCATGTGAGGGCACTTACTCCAAGGCTACCTGAATAAAGTATGTGTATCCCTGTTGATTTTCAGGCCAAATATAGTATAATCAAAACAATGTGATGGCCTTGATGGTTTTTTCTGTTTAGTCGCTTGAGTACATGGTTGGATAACAACCTGAGGCATGAGTGCTCTTCCTTTACGTTGAATCATCTATACAGTACTTTTCTTTGATATTGTGTCATAGCTACATAGCTACATACGCAATTAAAATCTGATGCAAAAAAAAGGATATGGTAAATGAAAAGAAATATCCCACCTTTATATGGCTGTGTGGCTTTTGGTTGGTCGCTTTATGATCAAATTGATTTCACGCAGGTGTCTCTTTTATTTTTTGCATGAGATTTTAATTGCGTATGCAGCTATCTAGCTATGACACAATATCAAAGAAAAGTACAGAAAAGATGACTCAATTTACAAGAAGAGCACTCATGCCTCGGATTTCATTTGCAAGTACTACTGCAAAGTTGTGGCCTAGCCTCCCCTCGGTAGATAGTTCTGAGATGTATGTAGAAAATAGACAGTAATCGGCGACCACTCCTTTCCTATATTGTCTTTTATGATCGCCCTACACAGTAACAGAATTTAAATTTGAATTTGAAATCTTTTACGTGACAGGAAGAACCTAACATATATTTAGACGTGACACGGGTAGATGGGCTCTGAAAGCTCATTGCTACCTACATGACCGGCAGTGGAGCCAGAAGCGACAAAAGAAAAGAGTGAAAAAAAAAAGAACAGTATGTGTCTGAGTTACGGTGCCCTGCGCCGCATCCCTATCTTCCACACCCATCTACTCTCGGGTCAGAAACAATCTCAGCGTGGTCACCTCCCACAATTTTCATTCTTCGGCGGACTGTAACATCTGCTAGTAGTTAAGAATTGAATGAACTTCTGCCATCCCTTCTCCCCTATCATTTCCCTGGCCCCAGGTGGGGCCATTTTCTCACAGATTCTCCAACGTAGCAAAGCAGGTCGGCACTCTGAAAAATGCCAGGGCCTTTTCTCTCGGCCGCAAACGCATTTCAGATCTTCATGTTCGGGGTTGAAACGTCGATGGTAGTCGGCATAGTCCCCGTGGCCTGTTCTTGCCGCAATAAGACGATGGTACGCCCATCTTGGTAAAGCTAGTTCCGGTGGTCTTTTGCAACGCATGAATAGGTCCAGATCTTTGTATCACTTCGGTCAATACTTCTACCACCACTCTTCCACGAGCTCTTGGCTGCGCAGTTTAACCCACCTCCCTAATGCCGCAAATGTTAGATCTTGATCTTCTAGAATGGGCGCAGCTGAGGTTAGTGACCGGTTATTGGAAGCTCCCAAGGCTGATTTGGCCAGCTTATCGGCCTCTTCATTGCCTTGAATCCCCACATGCCCGGGTATCCAGCGTATTTCCACACGCTTATTGTGTCTCAGGGATGAAAACTTGTCCACCACCGACTGCGAGGAGTTAGATCTTCCTCTTTCGAGCACCTGGGTGGCCGCTTGGTTGTCCAGAAGAATGCAGATCAGTAAGTCTTTTCCTACCTCTATTGCAGCCTTCAAGGCTTTCATGGCACCTACAACTTCTGCATCGAATACCTCTGCTCCGGGAAGTGGACCGGAGCCACCTGCAATTAGCTTGCCTCCTTGGTATACTACATACCCCCAGGATGATTCTACACAGTAACAGAGACTTGCATCCTACAAATTAAACCTTCGAACCCCCGAACATATTTGACTATCTAACCAATCACAAGTCAACTCTATGCAATGAAGAACTGGGGAGATTATGGAAGAGTCCAGTTAGATATGAGCTGAAATAGAATAGAATATAATTAAAATCCCTACTGAGTCTATGACTATGAAGGACTGCTAAAATCAGATAATATGCTACCAAAATTTACTTGTTTTAATTTATGGCTTATTTTCAATCTTTTCCAATAGACACTGAGGGTCTTACCCTAAGTTATGGATGGAACCTCCGGCATCAAATGGGCTAATTCGCATTCTAACAATAATCTCATATGAAGCACAACCTAAACCACATACTTTGGGGTGATCTAACTGCAGAAGAGCCACCAAGACGTTCTGTCTTCATTTTGTTCTAGGACTCAAGTCTAAATATGACAGTGATGTTGATTTATTAATAGCTGTTAACTCTCGTCTCTAAAAACCGAGTAAAAGGCAATTCAAACCCCACTATATGTGCAAAAAAGCCTCCATTATCTTAGGGAAATTTGCTAATTAAGGAGTAGATACGATACCGTGGATACCCAGGCCTTCCAGACTTTACTTTGAAAAAATTCTGGAAGCTTCCCATCACGCCATTCAAACGTAATCATTTGATTCTCCCGGAACGGAAGGGTAGACACCACGGCCTACAAGCCCATCTCTTTGTCTGATCTCATCCAGAGTAGTAGGATGCATGTAAACACGCTTATAGTATGAAGGATAAACATTATAAGATATACACGTACGGCGACATGTAGAGAAAAACTTATTTATCCGCATAGAATTGTTGGAGTAATAAATTTTAGCAGTTTGTGGCATCAATACTAGTCAGATATGGCTCTCTGAAAATATATCGAACGCGCCTGAAATTATTTGGGTAACTTTTTGCTGTAGAGACTATCAAGCATTCTATGCAGTCAAATTTTAACAACGGAACGTGGGGTAGATGAGCTGGTGAGTCTGACTTTGGCGGGGAGTTACTATGTACGAGTGCGGTCGAGAGAAAATAAATCAAGGCGTATTCGAAAGGTCTCTAGATCCTTCCCTAATGCTTCACGCCAGCATAAGTATATGGCTTTGTCATGCCTAGGCTATCGGACTCCCAGAGGCAGAATTCTCATCGCTTACACTGCTAGTGTGTAGGTCTTGCGGCGTGAGTGTGCCAGAGAACATAAAATATCGGAAAAATTAGCATCTGGAGTGTAATAGTCTGCTAGGCGCACCTAAGAAGATATCTCAGGCTAGTTTTGCAGTCCATTGAAATAGTGATTTCCAGGTGCCAAATATGTGATAAAATCGACGCGAGAAGACATAATCTCGATGAGTTTCTAGCATAAGTTTACTCCTCGCAGGGTCGAAGACGTGATTCGATAATCTACTTGAATGCTAGAAATATTCATCATTTTAAAGATCTGAATGCCTATATAAGTCAGGAGTAATGGAGCTCACATCTTCTATTATTCCGAAATAAGCGACCCCACCGACAGTTTAGTTCTCGCTCCATCCCAAAGTTTTCATGGGCCTAGGACTTGGTTCGACGTAGGAAATCGTGGCGACTTGATTGGCTTTTGACCTCACAGTAACCTACTTTATGACAAAAGCCCAACCGCGAACAGAAGGCAAAGTTTGAGGTCTCAATATTATGTCCTACCTTTGATGATCTGAACATGCCATGAAATTAAAGCGCCCTTTTGCATCTAAAGCTGTATGGATACAATTATTCCTTATTTAATTATAGATCCCCTCTCAAGGATGAATTTGGAGAAGCTGTAATACCGTTACATTACTCCCCCATAGCTCGTCAAGAGGTAGCCATCCATGAGTGTGTGAGTTTTGGGTAGAATGGCAGGGAAAACCTTGGGCTCGGGGCTCTCCTGCCACTGATATCAGAACCACATCTGAATATATAGCTAGTGTTTTATTGTGTTTGCAGAGGTCTTCGAGCCGTATTGGTAGAATGGTCCAAACCCAAAGATGCTTTCCTTTCATCTAATCCTCTTTCATAGTCCTCGCCCAAGTAGTGCTGCAGGAAAACTCAGAGATCGATAGAGTATATTAAGAGCATCTTGGTAGAAGGCGATGATGCCGAAGGGACCCAAGTCAGTATTCAAATAGAGGTCTTGACTTGGAGATATTGACTGACTCAAATCATATGTATACCTTTCTTACTGCAAGAATCCGATGCTGAGGATTTAAAAGGGTGTGTCTCACAACTTTGCCTCGGGACTCTGCCGAAATTTCTCCGTGACTTTAGGCTAGCTAGATAATCACGTGGAAGAAAGCATTCGACAGCTCGTCAACTAGACGGAAATCGGAACTTATGAATGGAACAAGAATCAGAAAAGATGGCGGGAGGCCTATCGAGTCCATAAAGCTAGTAGGCATCTATCTCGCCGAACTACATTAATTCCATTCTCCCTGACTACCACGGTGAGGAAGCTCAATTCTTAGCCTCACCATATATCTATCCCTATATTTTCCTGATATTAGGCTGCATCATTAAGTCCAGTCACTGCTATTAATATTCCAGCGACTTCAAATTCCAAATGGAGTCAACGATGAAGCCAGCTAAATTTACCTCGGAAAAGATCTAAAGAGTGGTGTGAGGTACCCATACAGGGTTGAGCAGTGAAAAGTCGTAGGAAAGATAGAGTCAAGTCCTTCCTCATGAGTGCACATAGAAATACTTGTGAGGAAGTATCAGGCAGAGGCAAAGGCAGCTGGTGGGTATTGTGTACTTCTTCCTATTAAAAACGTGGGCGAGTTCGTTCCAGTTTTGTAGTATTATATCCTGTTGGAAATTCTGATTCTCGAATTTAGGACTCAACCATTACCTGTTTCGTCTCAGGCTCCCGACGGGATCGACTCT